TATAGATATAGATATAGATATAGATATATATATATATTTAGGGAAAAATATATAGAAAGAGTTGGTAGGATATACATGCATATAGCTATTTTAATATAATATATTAACAATAAAGTTAATGTTTAAAAAAGCATAGGTCTACAGACTCAAACCCTCTGAGACTGTTCTATAAACTCTAAAGTTTCTGGTTAAGGTGAGAAAGCAGAGATCAGTGACACCTCTCTGTGACACCTTCCCTACAGGTGGCTTGCAATTCGCCTGGAGTTTGTTGGGAACCTGATTGTCTTCTTTTCTTCCTTGCTGCTGGTGATTTATAAAAACAGCCTAACTGGAGACACCGTGGGCTTTGTTCTGTCCAATGCCCTTAATGTGAGTCTGAGGTCAGGAGTTTGGCTAAAGCAGTGTCTGTGTTCTTAAATGGATCTTGGCATATACATGAGGTCCATGCTTTTGATGTCCTTGTAGGTCTAGAGGGGACTGAGCTTCCAACCCTGGCCCCATCTTTTACCCATGGAGACTCCTTCCTCCCTCTAAGGAGGCACAAGTGTCATATGGAAAAAGGAAAGGGACATACATGTTGTCTCACTATGCAGTTCAGGGGCTGGCCTTGAACTCACTCTGTAGTCCAAGCTTGCCTTGCACTCACAGAGATTCTCCTGCCTCAGCCTTCCGAGGGCTGGGATTACAGGTCTGCACCACCACACCCAGCTAACTGAGCACTTCAGGGCCCTGGCCTTATCCCCACCCACCCACGAAGGGAATAGGGATTGTCCTTCTTATACTATATATTCTTGTGGAATCTAGCACAGTACTGAATACAAGCAAGCACTGAAGTGACCTTATAGTTTGACTATTTGAGTTGGTTCCTAAGCCCAAGATCATTTTTAGTCTTCTGCACTGTTCTTTTTTTTTTTTCCTTTAGATCACACAAACCCTGAACTGGCTAGTGAGGATGACGTCAGAAACAGAGACCAACATTGTAGCTGTTGAGCGAATAAATGAGTACATACATGTGGAAAATGAGGTAAGGAGGAATTAGAGAAGCCCGAGGGGAAGGCCGTGCGACGGCTCTGAGCTGCCATCTGCATGGTTTCTTAATTCCTTATATGAGTTCATAACATTTTTTTAAATATTTATTTATTTATTTATTTATTTATTTAGTGTGTGGCCAGCTCAGCCCACCAGGGGGCGGGGCTGTCTGGCATGTGGTGCTGGGGGATTGAACGGAGGTCCCTGTGCTTTGCTTGGCTTAGCTTGTTCTAAGTAGGTGCTTTAGACCACTGAGCCATCTCACCAGCCCGAGTTCATAACATTTTTAAGAGTTTACTTTGGTTAACTCGAAGGACTTACTTTTCAGTTTAGGAAATGGCTTAGGGGAAGTCATGTCCTAGAATAATACTAAGTTAGATGGGGCTCCATCCAGAGATTGGTAGGATAACCTGGTGGGGTAGGCTTACTTTAATTGAATCAGGTAGGAAGCTTCTGGAAAAACAAGGCCAGGTCATCAGGTAGTGGGGACACTACTGGCTGGCGACACGAGGAATTTCTGGCTGCGTCGCCGCTGTGTGTCAGGCGCGTCCCATCCTGTCCCTTCGCTAGGCGCCCTGGGTGACGGAGAGGAAGCCTCCGGCGGACTGGCCCAGCAAGGGCGCGATCCAGTTTAGCAACTACCAAGTGCGATACCGGCCTGAGCTGGATCTGGTCCTGAAGGGGATCACTTGTGACATCAAGGGCACTGAGAAGGTAGGTGGGTGTGAGGCCTTACGGTCTGGGACGCGGAAGAGGCAAGAACGGGACTCGGCCTTTGTGGATGGGTAGCCGCGGGAGCGGCAGGTCCTCCGCCCTGTGTGCACGCACGCAGCCTCACCACCAGAGGGCGGAAGGTCCGCGGAGCAGGTCAGGCTTCCCGCCAGCCGACCAGCGTTCACTTCCTGCGCGGGCGCAGCAGGGAACAAGGACGCCCGGAAGGCAATGAGGGCGCGCATCGGCCTTGGGGAAGGAACTGCTGAGAAGAGCCGTGTGGAAGACTGTCCCCACAGAGCATGGCTTGCCGTGCCTCCCAGTCCGAGAAATCAGGCACCCTCCTTGGTGCTTGAGCCCTGCAAAGATTGGGGGCAAAGGTCGGATGGGAAAGGTCCGAGGGAGGATGCTGAGGCCCAAATCAGGGTCTAGTCCTCAGCCCGAGGCAGGCCTGCTCCTTCCCTTGTCATTTCTAAGTGAAGATTAAAAATAAGAAAGGAGCTGTAGTATCTAATGATAATTACAGCAGCAGCCGCTGCTGAGTGTGTGACAGCATATCCACTTCCAGCAATCATAGGTCTCAGCAACAGCAAGTTATGAAATCGGGTGGGAAAGCCTTCTTTTTCTGACATCTGACACTTTATTTTTCTCCTGCAAAAACCAAAAGCCTTTCTTTCTTTCTTTCTTTCTTTCTTTCTTTCTTTCTTCTTTCTTTCTTTCTTTCTTTCTTTCTTTCTTTCTTTCTTTCTTTCTTTCTTTTCTTTCTATGTATTTGGGGGAAAAATGTATTTGGTACAGGCTCTCACTACAGCCTCCCCAGAGATGTGATTACAGGTGTGCACCAACTCCGTGGCTGGCTCAGCACGCCTGGGGGCGGGGCCTGCATGGCATGTGGTGCCAGGGATTGAACCCCGGTCCTTGTGCTTGTCTAAGCAGGCGCTTAGTCCCTGAGCTAAATAATTTCTGTAAGAATTGCCCGAGGGCTGGGGAGATAGCTAAGCAGCATAAGTGCCTGCCTGACAAGCGCAGAATCAAGTTTTTCTTTTTTTGTACTGGGAATCGAACTCAGGACCTTGTGCTTGCCAGACAAGCGCTTGTGCCACTAAGCTATCTCCCCAGCCCAAGAATTACCTGTTGAACTAACATGCAAATGAACTGTCTTCATAGGTTGGTGTAGTGGGCAGGACAGGAGCTGGGAAGTCATCCCTCACAAACTGCCTCTTCAGAATCTTAGAGTCTGCAGGTGGCCAGATCATCATCGATGGAGTAGATATTGCTTCTATTGGGCTCCACGACCTCCGAGGGAAGCTGACCATCATCCCCCAGGTGAGCGCTACAATTTACTCTGGCACCTGCTGGAGCACTTTATTCTGCAGGAAAGATTGACATTTAGTCAATTCGTAGCCACATTTCTGCAGTCTACTCAGAATATCTGAGCTAGTTCCCTAGGCTGCTTTGTTTTCAACACTGAAAAGGTTTTGAATTTTTTATAATGTGCATTTGTGACTGATTGCATCTGGCCAGTAGGTGGCGGCAACACAACAAAAGTCAAATAGAGCAAATGAGTATTCAGCATTTCTGTCCTGGTTTGCAAAATTTTTGCACCTAACACCACATGTTTTGCTGCTGAAGCTTGAAGCTATTAAGCTGTATATTCCTTATTTGATACGGTTAAAAGATAGAGGAGGAAATCTGCTGCAGATTTTTACCATCAAGTGAAACAGTGTGTCGGCAAGAAAGGCTTCCCTTTGGTTTGCTTTCTGAACCCTTCCAAGGATGTGACGGAACCATGTCGCCTCCCACACTGTAGCCAAGTTTCTCTGAAGGTGGCCTTGATTTGTCTGGTGTTTTCTTAGTTTGACATATTCTTTTCAGTGGACTCTTTAAGTGTAATAAATTCTCAATGGTCCGTACTCTCTCATGCTGCACTCTTTCCTGACCCCTCTACCTTTAAATGATGTGTTTTGGAGGAGAATATCTCTAAAGAGAATCTGAAAAGAGCATTCTAAAGAGAATCTGTGGAAAACTGGAAATCTGTAAGTGTATCTCAGAATGAAGCAGTAACAAAACAAACCAGGGGCTCTTCTTGAGCATGAACCAGCTTCGCGCCTCACCAGTCTGCCTCAGGCCAGCCCTATGTGCTTTATTTTGGCCACAAAGAACTGCTGGGACCTCTTCTGACGTCATCCTAATAGTCCTTCATCTCTTGTCTTGCAGGACCCCGTCTTGTTCTCTGGAAGCCTAAGGATGAATCTTGACCCTTTCAACAAGTACTCAGATGAGGAGATTTGGAAAGCCCTGGAATTGGCTCACCTCAAACCCTTTGTGGCTGGCCTGCCACTTGGGTTGTCCCATGAAGTGACAGAGGCTGGTGAAAATCTGAGGTAATGTCTCATATTCCACTCCCTTCATGGGCAGTGAGAGTGTGTGGTGACCATTTCTCATGTTCTTGTGTTAGGCAATGTCTAGTGCTGAGGAATTTTCACTCTGCAGGTCTAATTTTAATGTATAAAATAAATCCACTGTGAATACCATGTGATAAAATAGACATGGAAGTGCTCAGATATTCTTGAAAACATTTGTTACTGAGTGTGCCCCTCATATGACATGGCATGAGATGGGTTTACAGTTGCCAGTATTGTAGAGAAATCAGATTCTCAACTTAACTGTGCATAGCAACAGATTGATTAAAACAGACGTGATGCCTGGGACAAGCCTAGAGTCTGCTTTAATTAGCATGAGGAAACTGAACTTGGTGAGTCTGAAAGCGTCCGCACAGGCTGCTCAGGGGACTCCAGTTTGGAAACTATTGATCCATGCAGCTGTTGGCAATGAAGAGGCTTTCAGAGTTCTTTTTACCTTTTCAGAGCATTTTTGTATAGTGGAAGGTAGGACCACTAGAAGTAGAAAGGAGAGCTTGGTAGCTCAAATAATGGGCCAGCAGCTCTGACCTCACCTGGAAGCATGGTGTGAATACAGACTGTCAGGACCAATCCTAGTCATCTAAATCTGCACCTTAGTAAAATTGCCGAGTGGTTTGTGGGCACTGGGCAGCTCGAGAAACACCATTCAGAGCACCGGCTTCTAAGAAGCTAGAGCCAGCTATGGTACTTCATAAATTCCAGTGCTCACTCAGCCCCTCCTTCTCCTTCTTCTCCTGGGAATCGAACTCCTGACCTCCCACTTGCCAGGCAGGCATGATGCTGCTGAGCTGCATCCCTGGCTCAGCCCCTTCTTAATGTGTTCCCTTAATGGCCACAAGAGGAGAGAGCAAGGGCAAATTCCTGAATGTTTCTTTCTTTCCCGTCATTTCCCAAAGCTTCTTTACATAGGTAAGAGGCCCAGCCTTCATTGTAGGATCTTTAACACATTAAAGATATTTGCACTTTACAAGCATATTTGAATTCCATATACATTGTATATCTCACACCAAGACATCATGTTTCTTAGTTTTGTCTCTAATCAAGGCAGAAAGCCTTGAACAAATAATTAACCATGAGACTAGAATTATACATTAAAATAATGAATGGGCTTGCCAAGGCCATAAGAAATACCACTGGGGTATTCTGGCATCAAGAATGGTGACATCAGTAGCATCTCATGTTGTTTTGGAAGCCAGTGCAGGTCATTTTCCCTGACCAGTGTTTTCAAACATATTTAAACATGAAAGTTTCCTAGGTGTTTGTTAGAAATGTGTATCCTTTTCCCTTCTGAAACAGTGAGGCCCAGAAATGTGGTTTTGTCATTGTTCCCTTAGTGACTTATAATTGGGAAAGATGGAAAAATATCAAAGAAGTAGTGATGAATGGAGATTTTGGAGTGGGAATCGTGGAAGTCTGAGCTGGGGTGTGAGACTGCCGCTCAGCCCAGGCCTTTCCCTAGTCATCGGGGCCAACGTGTGCCTTCTTCTACGCCTGCAGCATCGGGCAGAGGCAGCTCCTGTGCCTGGGCAGGGCTCTCCTTCACAAATCCAAGATCCTGATCCTGGACGAGGCCACTGCTGCCGTGGACCTGGAGACAGATCAGCTCATCCAGAACACCATCCGGACCGAGTTCTCCCACTGTACTGTGATCACCATTGCCCACCGGCTGCACACCATCATGGACAGCGACCGGTGAGCGAGGGGCGGAGCCTGGTGGACCCGCTCGGCTCCTGGTGACAGTGTCAGCTTGATTCCTTACAGGGCTAGCCATCATTTTACAGATGAAACGGAGGCCTAGACAGTTGAAGGAAGTTGGCCAAAATTGTACATCAAGCTAGTGAAAACTAACAGGATCCGGGGACCTATATTGAGGGCAAAATAGAAAATTATAATTATTAGCTGAGTCTGGGGAGGTGGAGGCCTAACTACAAATGGCAGCTGTTGGCCATACACCTTCCCCACCGTACTGGCCGCCCTACTCTGGCACTTAATACTCAGAAGTCAGTAATCTTAGGAAAATTTGGAACGGCAAGGTGTCCTATTTTGAGTCAGGGGAAGGCTTTCTTTTAGGACGGTCTTCCTTAAACAATGTGTACCTGAAAATTGACTGATGCAAAGGGACTCATACTATCCAAATGATTCTATACTTGTTTCTTTTATTCAGGATTACCCACGGGGTTCGCCCATGTTGATGTCTGTAGCTGCAGTTCATTCATTTTATTTCTTTTCAAAATTATTTATTTAAAAAATAAAATAAAATAATTTATGTATTTGTTTTTAGCACTGGGAATTGAGCCTCTGACCTCACGCTTGCCAGGCAGGTGCTGTGCCACTGAGCTATATCCCCAGCCCTTAGTTATTTTAAAGAGAATTTAAAGCAAACAATAAAAATGATCAGAATTTCCAAACAAGGTGATAGCAAGTGAGCAATGGTTGTTATATAGCATATTGTTACCTTCAGAGTAGTTGTTCAGGTGACCGGCTGCAGGCAGGCAAAATTGATCAAACAGCTAAGCCTTAACTTTTCCTTTCAATGAACCAATAGAAATTAGTAGTGCAAGTATCTTAGCTAGTGTGTGTGTGTGTGTGTGTGTGTGTGTATCCCACCCCCTCTTTTCTCCTTTCCCCCATCCCAGTTGTCCTTTCCTTTTGAGCACTTGCTTTGTAGCCTTGTGTGATTCTCCTACAGCTTAGTCCTGGTTAATTTTATAAACGTCAGTGTCGGCGATGCTACCTTTATTTTTTTCCCTCTTGTTTCAGGATAATGGTCCTAGACAGTGGGAATATTGTGGAGTATGACAGCCCCGAAGAACTGCTGGAAAGGTCTGGCCCCTTCTATTTTATGGCCAAGGAAGCTGGCATCGAGAGCGTCAACAACACAGCACTCTAGCCGCAGATCGCATGGGGAGAAAGGACTCTGAGGATCTTCCCTCCGTGTGCGCGCACACGCACTCATGGGAAATACATCGTGTGCACAGCTGTGTATAAAACGCACATTTTAAAAGCTCGGTCTCACTCTGTGGCCCAAGGTGGCATCAAACTCTTGGGCTCTAGTCGTCCTCCTGCTTCAGCCTGTTGAGTAAAAATGGACATTTTCAAGAATGATAAATGAATACCGATGTGTCCTCTATCCAGATTAAGAAAGTGAATATTATCAGGAGCCTTAGAAAGCCCTCAGTCATCTCACTCTTGTCATAACCTCTTACCACCCATCTCTTCCCAAGAGTCACTCTCTTGAATTTCATAGTTGCCTCACC